CCCAGCGCTTGATTATAATTAGCACTGTTTTTATAAGTAGAAGAACAAGAGCCTGGATCTAACTCAGGACTTTATCACACATGGGAAATCTATAGTTTATCCCATACAAATCCCGAAAAAAAAAAAACACGCGTAATTACATGCAATGATTTCACACGACATCACACAAAAAACTGCTATTAAAGTGGTGTTATCCCAGATCTTTTTACTTTCGGGATTTTAGTGAAAATGCATTTTCGATATTACTGTAATTGCGCATTTACTCTAGTGTGAAAGTCAAATTCAGTTTATTCACACAATAACCCTTTTACTTCCTGTTTTGCTTAGGCAACAAACATGCAGATATGAGCCTCTCTGCTTTCTCTTTCTGCGCATGTGCAAGTATACCATTTCTAGTACATTTATGGATTTCTTTCACTTCTGTATGAAATGTAAAAATGCCTTTTTATCACTTTTCACATTATTTCACATTCATTCTAATTACGTGTGAAATTCATTTGCATGATCAAGCTCTATTTTTGCTTTATTTTCAGGATGGTTTATTTGCGCTTTATTATCTTTTTAAAGACGAAACTGGCCCCCGTGTGATAAAGTCCTCTGTTAGGTGGCCAGACATTTGAACATGGGTTTGAATGCAAATCATGTTGAAGAGAAGATAATGTACACAAACAGCACCACCATCCTGATGTGCTTCTGGATGCCAAGTTCGGTTATCTGCTGTTCCTTATTCAGCAAGTGATATGTTTTTACATGCCTCTTATGAAGATGTCCTAATTTGTGTAATCCATAATCCATGTGTTTTTATGTACCTTTCTACTGCATCAGGATGAGGCGCTTTAAAGGGATATATCAGTCATTCTTCATTCAAATGATTGATATCAAATCTTCCATGCTGCTCTAACTCTTTGGAAATATTATTAATAAACCTCAGCTTATTGTAGCAGGAAATGTAAACAGAAACTATCACATCTAGTTAATGCCCTTTGGTAAACTACTCCATTGTGAATAAAAACAATGGAAGGAATCAGGATAAACTGAGCTTTTGAGTCCTGAACTATGCAAATATAAATGTTTTTTTTCTCTCTCTCTCTAGCAGAACATTCCAAATTCTGCAGCACTTGTTAGCGATGTCACTTGGCCTAAGCCACATTTCAGAGTTGGGGTTGGGTAGTAAGAGCCTAGTTTGTTCACTGTGTTTATCCATGACATTGTTTTTCAGAGCAACCCTATCCAAACCTACTAGGAAATAAGTTGCATTTTGTTCAGTGGTGCTTGCTACTACTTTGTATGGATGTGTTGTATGTCTTCAAGTCATTTCTGACTTATGGCGACCCTAAGGCAAACCTATCATAGCAACAACAATAGCATTTAGATTTCTATACCGCTTATCAGTAAACTCAGCACTCTCTAAGTGGTTTACAATCTGTAAGCCAATTGCCCCCAACAAGCTGGGAACTCGTTTTACTGACCTACGAAAGAATGGAAGGCTGAGTCAACCTTGGAGCCCCTGGGATCGAACTCACAACCTTGTGGCTGGAGTACAGGCATTTAACCGCTGCACCATAAAGAGTCCGTATCATGGAGTTTTCTTGGTAAGATTTGTTCAGGGGTGGTTTGTCATTTCTTTTCCCTGAGGCTGAGAGCATGTGACTTGCCCAAAGGTCACCCAGTGGGTTTCTTGGCCGAGTGGGAATCCAACCCTTGTCTCCAGAGTTGTAGCCCCATGCTCAGACCACTGCTGCCATGCTGGCTCTCAAAAATAGAATAGTGTGTGCTTGCTTGC